CCCGGTCATTTAGGTTCTGACAAAACCCCAGCAGGTTAGGCACTATTAAAATAGCTTCTCCTGAGAATATATCTTGTTAAGAACAGAATGCTCTGACACTTTTTTCCTCTTCACCTGCCTGAAGCTCAGGGGAATTTTTCTCTGCTATTCACTGTGAGAAGCTGGTTGCACTCCTGGAGGGAAAACTCACAAGGGTGTGGGAACCCCCTCTGCCTGCATCCCCTGGGGTTGTGTACACCGAGCCTCCAGCAATTCATCAGTTACAGTAAATGTTCTCTGACCCACGCATCGGTCCCCATGCTGTGGAGTTGGTGATTCCCTGTACTCACCTGTCTGTCTCTCCAATTTGGGGGGCAGCGGGTTGCCCTGTGGCCTCACTGCTCTTGCGAATGTGAGGGGCTTGTTGATTTTCCAGTTTGCTCACCAGTTTACTTGTTGGTAGGGTGGAGCGGCAGGTGACCTCCAAGCTCCTTACCTGTCAGACCAGAAACCAGAAGTCCACAAACTTTTTTTTTTTTTATCAGCCCATGTCAAGATAAATACCAAAAATAAGAGAAAACATTTAAAAACTCCTGTAGCACGTTGATGTTTCCATGACACCCAGGTACATGAATTTGTATTTTACAAAAATATTAGTTCACAGAAATTGGAATTTAGAAACAAATCAAAGCAACAAACAATTGGCCCTTCACTTCAGGTGGATGGAGAAGCATGGGACTAGGAGGCAGTCAAGAAAATGAGGATTTCGGGTAGGAACTATACCATTTTTGTAGTTTTCCAGAAATTGCCCTGAGTTCCCCCGAGAAGAAGGCCAAGCTGCCGGGAGTGCATCGGGAGGGATGGTTAGGGGGTTTCAGGGTAGACTTGGCGGGAAGGCCACAGCAGCCTTTGGGATAGCGTAGACATCTCCACCCCTGCTGCCAGAATGATCTTCCTAAAATGGATCTGGTCGTGTCACACCCTTGCTTAAATCCTTTAGAGACACCCTTCTGCCTAACACTTCTCAGCTTCTCAGCGCCGTTCACTAGGCCGCTCACCCCCTGCCCAGGGGACTCCCCCAGCTTCATTCTCTAGCACCCAGCCCCTGCACCCTGCTCTGACGGCAGTCGCCTTTCCTGGAGACCCCAGCGCGCACGGCCACCCCCTACCTGTGCATCTCCTGCCTCTTCTGTTGGGAAGGCCCCCCCCCTTCTGGTGAAACCCCACACGTTCTCTAACATCGCCTCCCTGGCGGCTTTCCTGGGGTTGACGCCGAGTGCACAGGTGGGGCGGCCCAGGTGCCCAGCCGGTGCTGCGTGCGGAGCCAGAGGGGAGCTGACCTCCAGTCACGCCCGAGAGCTCCACGGCCCTGCGCCTTCGCTGGGCATCTCGCAGCCAGAAAGGGGGTGCCTTTGGGGCCTGTAGGTGGGAGTAGTAAAGTCACACGAAAGTCACATCTGGACATCTCGGGACGGGGAGAGCGAGGCTGGGGTGGGGGGAGGTAGCTTTCCAGGGTAGAGGCAGATTCCTGGGCTTCCCATCCTTCGCAGAGAGAGACCCCCCAGCAGGGCGTGGCACGCTTTCTCTCCAAAGGCCATGTAGTGAGTATTTTAGGCTTTGTGGGCCAGACAATGTCATTGCAACTCAAAAGCAGACACAGACAAGTGGGTGTGGCTGTGTTCCAATGACACTTTTACCAAAGTGTTCCAAAAACTTTTAGGAAAGCAGGCTGCAGGCTGGATTTAGCCCACGGGCTGTAGTTTGCCAAACCCTGCTCAGGGGAGAGAGACTGTGTCCCTTCTTCTGCCCTGTCTCTAAATAGCCCTTCAGAGGCCTTGCTAAGTTTACCTTTAGAGTTTCTAAATCCCTGGATTTTTTTCCCTCTAAAACAGCATAAACAATGAGTAATCCGCCCCTACTTGCCAATCAGTTGCAGAGACATGAAACGTGGAGGGAGAGATGCATGGCATCCACCGAGCATGGGGTAGGTGTTTGTGAAATTAGTACATAGCCCAGGTCTTTATGAGACAGACAGATGAGAGCCTTGCTCTGAAACTATTTTAGGACTGAATCCTTGCCATAAAGAGAATCTGTAGTTCCAGCAGTGTCCGCCTGTGTTTGGGTGGGCTGTGTGAAGTTTGGATGCGGAGAGTGGAGTTAAGCTTTTCATAAACTTGAGTAAGGCTGGGGGCCTAGAAGATACCTACCAATGTCCTTGATCAGTTGTACTGTCTAGAATTCACAGCCCAGGGGGAAAAACTGCAAAGGTTACTAATATCTTTGAGTCAATAGAGTGGTAGGCAGTATAGCAATGCATAAATTCAGGGCAAACTTGCCTGCTTCTGTGAGCATATACTCTATAAAATGCACAAACTGAATAGCCATGTAAATTAAAATCTAAAACGATGGGGTTCCAAAACCCCTGACATAATCGGCACCAGGGAAGGTGAAGAAGGCCTGCTAATAATACATAGAGACTTTGTCACCTCCCTCTGCTCCCAAGGGCTCCATGGAGGTCACCCTGCCACCCTGTTTCCCCAAAGCCACAAATCAGGACATCTTTTGTCAGCCTGACTGAACGGGACCACCTAGTAGTAGTGAGGCTGGCGCCGGGGGAACTGTGAGGCCGGGGCTCTGACTTTGTCCGTGTCGCCTGATGCTGTTTTGAGTATCTTCAGATTAGCCACAGCCTCCTACTCTGTAAGCTGACCGGAGCTGGACATTTTCCATCCGGCAGCTTTTGCCCCAGATGCAGCCAAAGTCGATGTGTGCTTCATGGCCATCGGTGGAGCGCTTTCCTTTAAAATCTCAAACACTTTTTTAGATTCCACGTATGAGTGAGATCATGTGACACTGTCTTTCTCCGACGGGCTTATTTCACTTACATTGTACCCCCCAGGTTACTTCTCTTTCCCTTTCCTTAAGTCTTACATGTCTAAAGTTGTGTTATTTCCCATCTCTTATTTATATGACATCCAAACCGCTTATAAATTATCTTTCAGGTCATCACAGTTTGTTGAGCACCTACTATGTCTATGTGATATAGGATCAAATAAGAGTGGGGTAGAATATTCCTTGGTCATCACACAGATGCATAAGCTGGGTTTGTTTTCCTATAGCCTCTTCTGATGAATGGAGTATGTAATTAGTTAGGTTTTATCCGGAGGGTTTAAGTTAGCCATTTTAAACCTCTTTTCTCACCATTTACCTTTGGACATTTAGCTTTTATTTTGCAGGTCCATTTTGAGTAAGTTGGTCATCAGTTTTGAAGAGGGCTAGTTTTAGTTTATTCTAACGTTGTATACTTTTATACTTGAATTATTTACTATGGGTTTGGTTATTGACGTAATTTATTTGTCGTTTTATGATGTACATATTTTCAGTGGAGACGCTTAGGCTAAGCTATATTTATTTATACCGCGGTACATTAACCATAAAACTATCTAACTGCAGAAAAACCACGATAGTCTGGAACCCTCGGGGAGTGGGTTGTTCAAGATAGCCAAGTTTTTAAGAATAACTAACTATTTGTGATGGAAACCTATTTAAAATGAATCATAACTCTCCTTTTATCTTGAAAATAATAGGCATCGCATTGAACTTTGATAATAACTCACGGTCACCCGTAAGAACTGGCTCTGACTCAGCTCTCATTAAAGGACTTAGGTGTTTTGTTTTAGTTGGTTTTTAAAGTTTTTGTTGGCATTTCTTAAAACAGTTCTGTTTCTTCAGTTTCTGTCAGCTATATTCTCACGGGCCCCACCTGTAGCCTTGCCTCTGCCCTTCAAATTGCTGCTTTTATGCTTCTGTGGACTTGGAGACCAGGTAACAGAGCTTATTAGAATATAAGGGGGGGGGGACAGTAGGTCTACAGTCACTTGTATGGAAAATAATGCAATAATTAATAAGTAATAATGCAAGAATAAACTCTGTGTTTCGCATACTCACAACCGTAAACCTACTGTTTTGGCATAAATTAGGATTTATTTCTTAATACAAACAATATCTGTACCACATGTATCCAAAGCATAGGTTGCCTTTATTTTTACTTTTAGATTTTAGGATACAACTGTTCTTTGGGCTGGGAAAAAAATAGTCTTTGGCAAAAATAATTTGCATGACTGGATTTAACATTTCCTTTAGCTATTTCATGGCTTTTTGTGTTAAGAATTTTTATCGATGAGGTTATATTAAGCCAATGATTTTGAAAGCCTATTAAAATGTTACATTCCATGTAGAATAATATTTAAATAAACCTTAAACAAATTTATATTTTTCTTTTTTATTTATGTGTGTGTGTCTGTATGTGTGTATTTGTTGATGGGCTGGAGACTGCTTCCTGAGAAGCCAACCCACCCTCTGATTCTCAAAGGTCCTCATTGTTCAGTTTGCCTTTTAAAAATCAGAAATTGAGGCTGATTTACTTATATTAACAGGCGGGTATTATCAAGTTAATCCTCCAATTGGAAGTCATTTCTCAAAGATGTTACTAAAACCTTAGAAATACTGAAGATTTAAACCCTAACATTGGTAGGGAGATAATTACATTTTCTCTATTGTTTCCCCTCTCCCAGAGTGATTCGTCTCAGCCCCCGTGTCCTGCTCCCGAGCCCCTAATGCAGTGAAGCCCGGCCGGGGGCTCATCCCGTTGGGCAGACAGCTGCCGAAAGGCGTTGCCTTCCAGCGTGGAGTTTAGATCATGGCCAGTCACGGCGGAGCTGAAGAACACCTGTCAGAGGCGTTTTTCTGCAGGGAGATGGTCTCTTTCATCAGATTTCATTGCACTCCAGAAAAAGATTCGTTTTAAAATGTGGGTAAAACGGCATCTGCTTTTATGATTCATCCTCACCATGCTTTTAAGGGGGAAAGCCAATTTGGAGCTTATTTATGACACCGTTCTGGGGTGGAGGGAGAAACTGCAGCGGAGTGTTTCCAAAGGGAGGACTTGCCCAGATGTTTGATGTGTAACTTTCTGTTGCGAAAGAAGTCGAAAAATTTAGTTTTGAACTTTTTACGTGAACATAATTAACAATAGGAATTCTTATGGCAAACTTTTAAAATGTGTAAGCTAAATTGTGAACACGTGTAGTGAGCGAAACCTGGGAAACCTTCCTCTGTTGAAATCTGTGGCGTTTATCTGTGAACAATGCAGGGTATTATTGATCCTGACCGGTGTTCAGAGAAACTGCTCTCGACTTTCAACTCTGCTCTAATTAGAAGCACCGTTAAGTACATAAAACACAGGTACTTTCTCACATCTGCAAGCTATATTGAGGATAACTATTCGAAGACAAACTTCATTTCGCAAACTGTAATTTAATGGCCTAACAGCATGCAGACCGGAATATCAGTTAATTTTCAAAACATTTTATTCTACACCAATTAGCTCAGGTCCTGGAGGGCAAAATGACAAGAGGTTAGTCGTTCACTATGTATTTAGTTAATTGAAAAATGCTCAGATTGCTTTTACAGTTGTTATTAAAAAGTAGAATCAGTGTTGCCAGTGCTCAACCATAATTGGAACCCCAGGGAATTAAATATTTAGCATTAGTAATGTAACAGCACTTAGGACACAAATTTCTATTTTCGTAATGAAAGCTATACACTGTGAGTGCAAGCGGCTGAAACGACAGCTGTGACAAGTGAAACGGCCTGGGATATTTCAATAAGACACCTCATTGGACAGCAAGTCTTACCACATTACTCGTTTGTAAGAGATCTGCAAGTTTAATTCCCAATAGAAACCCGTTACCCAAGTATTTAGATTTCTAATTGCATGCAGGATGAACAGTTGGGCAAATGTCTTGCCTTAAGTGGCTGAAATGTATAGTGCTTTCTAAATAATCCTATATAAGTTCATGCCTTTGTCAATTTAAAAATAGCGGGACTGTCAGAGAATAAAGTTCTTGTTTGTTTTAAGTTTAATTACATTTTCAGCATAAATGCTTTCAGTGTTACAATGAGAAAAGTTGGATATTGGGCTCTAATGAGCTGCAGTGGTAGACGGCTGGGGACCCTAAGGGATTCCCTACGTAAATTAACTGGATGAAAGTACTCGGTTAGGATGTAGTTGATGGCCGAGCTGTTCTTAAAGCCCAGTTACAGAGCTGTCTCTCACTCCTGTTTTCATTCTAAACAGCCCTGCAGAGGCTGTAACAGCCGCCTCTTACGACTGTTCAGCTTGTCCAAATGTATCCTATTACCCCACTAATAAATAGTATTAAAGGGTATCGGAGTTTATTTCTTGTTTTCAGAGGGCATCAGGTTGGTCAACACAACAGGCTTAGGTTGGCCTTATTTTAATTTGTTTATGTATCTAAGTAATATTGAAGGTCCATGATTTGAATTTTTAAAACACTCTTTTCCTGGGGACGTAAAATTTACAAAATAATACGGACAATGAGAACAATTAACGGAGGCTATTTATTGTCATCTTTGCCCCTGAAAGACGTATGACTTTGACATTTTTAGCCTGCAAAGTATCTGAAAACCAAAACCATAGCTAAACAGACATCCTTCCAGCATCACTAGACAAACCCCTTCCCCAGTCATTCTACCTTCCCTCGGAAAAAAGCGCTCGCAGAGCAAATTGGCTTCGTAATTATCTTTTGCTTCATTGTCTCCATGTCAGTTTTGGGGGAATTTGTTCTAACTGATCAAGATTTCTTTTCTATTTTGTAATTTTTAGAACAATACACACCTATATTAAAAGAGAAAAGAAAATAAAACAGATGTTTATCTGATAAACTCTCCCTTCCACTCTCGTCCGCATCCCACTCCCCTCCCCTTTGGTGCCTTTGCTAGCAATTTGGTGACAAACCAAACATTCATAACACTTTTTGTGCATATTATACACGTGCACATGCAGCTATGTATGTGTACATATTAAATGCATGTAGCGTATTTAAAGGTCCGACTTTGGATGATTCTGTAGGAGCCCGGGGCTGCTTTTTTCTCTCACTTGATTTATCACAGAATCTCCCAGATCTTTCTCACCCATTTTCTTTATATTCCAGCTTCTTTTTTTAACTTTATTTCTATTGTTGACCCTATTCCGGATGTCCTCATTTCCCACCCACCCCTTTATCCAGTCCCCACNCCCACCCCCCGTCCCTCTGGCCATCACCACTAATCGTCATCCCAAACTTTGGGGGTAAAAAATTAATTTATCTATTGCCTACGCCTGTGATTTAAAGTCATCTCTAGCATTTTGCTATGGCAACTAATGTCACAAGGAACTTCTGAGCGTGCCTAAGTGCGTGTGTGTTTGGCATGTGTGTGCACGTCATACTAAAACATGGAACTGACACTTACCGAGCGATTCCTTTGTTCTGGGCAATGTTCAAAGCACTTTACATATATTCACCCATTACATCTTTGCAGGAAAGAGTTGAAATCCTGCTAATCCCCACTTTACACATAGGGAAGCTGAGGCACAGAGAGGTTAGGTGACTTGCCCAAGGCCACAGAGCATAGTCAGCAGAGCCCCGCTTCCAGCTCCAGAGGCTCGGCACAGCCGAGCCTGGGCTCGTAACCAGCGGAGTGGGCCTGGGAGAAAGCTTTCCCTTTCTCGTACTTCATCAAATACTCTTCGCAGCCCAACCAGAATGGCTCAGTTGGCTGAGCATCGTCTTGTGCCCGGAAAGGCGGCTGGTTCAGTTCCCGGGCGTGGCACGTGCCTGGTTGGGGTTCAGTCTGACATTGAGGTCTCTCTCTCTCCCTTTCTCTCTTAAGCGTGTCCTTGGGTGACAGTTAAATATAGATATAGTTTTATTTTTTTGTTGCTTACCTTTTTACTTTGTTTGATTTTAATATACCAAAGTTTTGCTTTATGGATTTAAGCATAATGAAGCACCCCAACATCGCAAGTCTGTTTTCCGACATTTTCTTCTGCTTTCAACTTTTTAAAAAGTTTTCATCTTTAACCCATGTGGGATTTACTTGGGTGTGTGGTGTGAGAACAAGTTCAAATCTTTTATTTTCTAGTAACGCCCACAGGTTTATTTTGTATATTGTCTGTTTTTTCGCCTCTATGGTTTGAAATGTAATCTTTGTCTAATGTGATACCCCACCTATCCATGCCAGTTCTTTAGACTATTCCGTTTGTCTAATCCTACAATGTCACACTTGTTAGCATTATAACATAAATGTAAGTTTAAATCTTTCAAATTTTAAAAAATATCTACCAAATACTCTTAATGTTAAATTATAAAAAGTAATACAATTTATGTTAACGAATACAAACAGTGTAGAAATATATCAAGTTGTAGTAAGCAAAGATGTTCACATCCTAATTCCTGTGAATATGGTCCTTGGCATGGCACAGGGAAGTCAGATTGCAGGTGGAATTAAAGTCACTAATCAGTTGACCTTAAAATAGGGAGATGATCCTGGATTACCCAGCTAGGCCCAGTGTAATCACAAAAGTTTTTAAATGTGCAAGAGAGAGGCAGGAGAGTCAATCAGAAAGAGTCCACTGAGCCTTGCTGTTTGCTGGCTTTGCAGCTGAGGAATGGAGGCGTGAGCCAGGGACCGCAGGCCACCACCAGTCACCGGACAAGGCAAGAAACAGATTCTCCTCTGCGGCCTCAGAAAGAACGAAGCTCTGCCGACACCCTGATTTTTGTCCAGTGAGACCCAATTTGGGCTTCTGACCTCCAGAACTGTAAGATAATTTTGTGTTGTTTAAACTGCCAAGTTTATGGCAATTTATTACAGCAGCAATAGAAAACTAATGCAAAGGTGAAAAGTAAAAATCTTCCAATTTCTGCGACCCTCTGTAGACCCCCATCAACCAGGTCCAGTCCCGATAGGTTATAACCCTGAACAGTTGTCGAGTGTTTTCTTGGTGGAGGGAAGGAGATCCTCTGCAGAATTGTGACTGCAGAAATTTTTATAGTATATTTTGATATCTGTTAAGTCTTTTTTTAAAGAAATTTTAAGTTCTCACCCATTTGCTTTCTCAGAGGAATGTTTGACTCAGTTTACATTTCTTTTGTTTGTTTTATACATAGCTAAAGAATGGCGCCTGTATGATTTCCACCTTGAGTAATATGCTGAGATTTCCTTTGTAGTCACTGTTAATTTTTGTAAACATGTCATATATATTTAAAAAGAAAGTGCATTCCCTCCTTAGGAAAAGTATCTTAGGTCTAGTTGTTAAATCAAACTTGCTAACTGTGTTTTCCAATACTCTGCATTCTTCTTTTCATATACCTCGCCTGCCAGCCTCTGAGAGCTGTGGTTTGCAGAAGTTCTTTTGTATTGTCAAGAATTTGTTTATATATTTCGATGCTTTGTTTTTTCATGGAGTGAAGGCTTGGTTTTGCTGACTCTTCCTGGTGGATTTTGCCTTCAGTGGATGAGAATCGCCCTTCACTGTTCTTGATTCCAGGAGGACGCTGTGGCCTCCGGGGCNCTTCAGTGGATGAGAATCGCCCTTCACTGTTCTTGATTCCAGGAGGACGCCTTCCTGGGTTAGCCTCCCAGCCCGGGTGCCTGGCGATTTCCTTTCCTTCCCAGTGTCAGGAGAGCCTGGCACTGTTTCACGTTTGTCTTGCTGTTTCTCCCTCTGCTCCAGCCCTCAAGCAGTGAGCCTCCCCCAGGTACATTCCCCTTCTGTTTGGCGAGCGATTCTCAGCGGCAAACAGTGCGGCTGCTGGACCTGTGGGTGAGAGTGGATGTCACAGCCAGGCTGCCCCCGGGTGAGCCGAGGGAGGCCCGGAGGGGACACTCACTCCGGGGTCCGCAGGCCTGAGGGGACTCGGAGAGAGTGCCTTCCTGAATTTTGCATTCTGGGTGCCTCACCTAGTCCCAGTCCTGCTAACAGAGCCCATTGCCATTCAGTGCTCTCCAGATATTGCCCTTCGCCCACTCTGGGTCTCTCGCTCCTGTTTGCCACCAGGGCCATGAAATTCTCACAGCTGAAGCATCTCGGAGGAGGGGGTTTGGGGTGAGAAATGGGAGCGGAATGAATGTGTCCAGGGAGAAGAAGATCGAATTTCTTCATTGCCTAACTGTAATTGGTGCACAGTTAGGCAATTCCTGCACCTGCTAATAACGTGAATCCCAAGGAAAGGAGCTGGCTGTGGACAAGCCAGTGGGACGGTGTGTGGGAGCCACCCGGCCCCGCGGTGCTTCTGTTCTGAGAGCCGTGGACAGGCGAGACAGTGACCTCCGTGTGAAGGCTTCTGAAAGGAGGCGTCCCTGACCATCGCCAGGTGTTGGCTGTGGCTGATGGGCGTTTCCCGATGTCCCTAGTCCCCTGTCCTTCCTCTAGTCCGCATGCTCCCTTCGCCGGGAACTGTGGTCTCTTCCTCCAGGTCTCGGCCTAACTCAGCCCCCGAGAGGCCCGCCCGGCCCCCCGCGCCCCCTGCCTGCGCCAGTCCCAGCTCCCCTCGGCTCCGGGCGGCGGGCTCCGCCTTGCACTGCTCTGTACTGAGGCTGGCGCCTGCCTGGTGGATGCCTGTTGGGCGGGTGAGGCTAACCAAAGCAGGGCCAGATTGTGCTAGGCTGGAGGAAGCGTGGAGCCTTCCTTCTGTCTGGCTGGGGGAAGCTGCCCTCGGAAATGCCCATGCTGCCTTGTAACGTGCCGGATGCACCCCGCTTTATGAAGGAGTGAGGTTGGGATCCACGTGGAGAGGCGACCCCGCCTGCTCCTCGCTTCCCCCCACATCTGGGTTCCAGCTGTGACGTCTTAAGCGCTGTCCCCTTTGGAGAAAAGGGTGTAGATCAGTGCTCGGGGGCTGCAAGTTAATAATGCTAATAATGAGAGCTCACATTCATGGAACATTCACCGTGTGCCAGGTGCCACGCTACATGTGTACCACGCATGATCTCATTTAATTCCCATAAGGAGGGAGATTATCTCTGTGAGTCCTATTTTCACAAGCGAGGAAACTGAGGCGCAGAGAACGAGCTCATGGGATCCGTGAATGAGGGAACTAGGACTGGTCCCGGGTCCGCCTGAGGCCGAAGCTTCTGCTGGTGTCCTCTTGCCGCACCACAGAGTCACTGGCATCTCCGAGAAAGAAGGGATCGTAGAGCTCACCCCTCTGTCGGTTGGCACTGAGGAGAAGACGTAAGTCTGACATTTGCAGCCACCGATCCTTTTGCAGCTGGCTCCTCACAAGAAACAGGAGGACTCCAATCTGCAGCTCGCCAGGCGAGAGGACCACGAGAGTGGCCCCAGATCATTTTTTGACAAACACACAGAGTCCTTCCTCCACAGGACAAAGGAAGCTGTACTCCGGAGTGACTTAAATAAGTACAGTGCCGAGCCTGAGAAAGACACCTTGGGGACCTCCTCTGACATATATTTCCTCTGACTTACAATTAATGTAACACACCTAATATTCTAGTGGCCAGCTTTCCAAATCCCCTGTGCCGTTGGGCTTTGAGCTCAATGCCACACTCTTGCAGCCCAAGATTTCGGTCTCATGGGACAAGGTGGACTAAAAGCATCAGGACGTGGTCCCAAGATTTACTATACAACACAGATTTTGGACTAAAATCGCGAGGCATTTCTCCCCGCCCTCCCCCCAAGTTCATCTACTCCCATAGCTCCTTAGGTTTGAAAAGATTTGAGGGCAAGGGAAATACCATTGAAGTAAGAGGTAGATTTCACAGCCTAGTGATGTTTTTGTAGCTGCCACATGTGGCCCAGTGTTAAGTAGCTGAACATTTCTGCTCGCTGGCCGCTGAAGCCAGGCCTCACCTCCTAGGGAGCTCCTTCTGACTTCAAACGGCATTTCTTGGGGTTGCAGAGGGGAGGAGACGTGGGAGAGAGTCTCCACTTAGGCTGCCGGAATTCCCTCTCCACCTTTGTGCTTTCTGGTTTTTAGAGCCGTGCAGGAGGCGGAAGAGCAGAGGAATTTGAAGGGTGTCTTCAGATAAGGTGCTGGAAACCCTGATATTTGCATGAGAGCTTGCATTCTCACAGCAGTAACATTCTTAAAGCATAACTAAATGGGATTTCAGTTGGGAAGGTTCACAGATCAGATGTGCAAGGTATGCTGAATCAGTTAAGAGAATCCTCGCTATATATAAAAGCTCGTCTCTGCACTTCTTAGGACAAAAGCAGCCACTTGGAGTGCCTTCCATAGTACGACAGTTCTGCCGGTGGCAGGCACAGCCAGCCCGAGAGGGCTGCTTATGGAACGCATAGGAAACGCGCCATTTATAAACCCTCACTGAGCATAGCTAGAAAGCGTGAGCGAGGCTGGAATAAATATAAGCAGCTCCCCAGATCTGGGGATTTCTAATGGCCAGGGTTAAATTTTATTTTTTATTTTTTGGCCTGTTAGACTTTCTCTGAGCTTGAAGAGTTCTTTAAAGTCTTCTAGATTGTCTTCTATATTGAAAATAAACCAACATAATCATTATTTTGTTCTACTTTATATGTTGAATGAAAGCTCAAAGTAATATAGCAATTGATTTCTTAAAGTCTGCGAACTTTTGGCAGAATTTTTGGCACAGCACAATACATTACTACATGAGCCAACCAGCTGACTTTAACGGAGTTGTTGGCGTAATCTGGTAGATGAAATGAACAGTAATAGACTGATTTTTATTTTAAAATGCCGTCAGTCAACAGATATTCATTGCACAGCACTGTGTGTAAGGACCTGTGCTGGGTCCTGTAGGGGCCTCACATGGTTGGGAGGAAATGACTTAGAACACTGATGGCCTTCCTTAGTTTTCCCACCAGAGTGATGCCTGCTGAGTCTTGACCGACTTGGTTATGATTTTCAGGGGGAGGCAAGGGGGGACCCTCAGTGGCACCCGTGCTTGGAGTTGTTGCACAGTGTGTCGAGCTCGACTTGACTCAGTCCCTCTGTCACTCTTGCGGTGGGAGTGGAGCTGCAGGTTTCTCTGCGTGAAGCTAATTGACCCATTTGGGGCTTTGACCCAGATTCTTAACTTCTTAGCACCTTTCTTTAGACAACTGGGCTTGGCACTTAGGATGCGAATGCTAATTGTCACTCATTAGGAACGGCTTTCTCCGTGGGGCCGCAGAGGGAGGGGGCTCGCTGGCTGCTGCGCCCGCACCCACTCCCCACAGCCACAGCGTGAGCTCCGGTCCTCAGTGCTCAGGCAGAGTTCGGGCGTTAGGGGGCCGACAGGTCCCCTGTCACATTCCAGAGAACAGCTCAGTGGGAACCCCCGCCCCCCGGGACCTAGCCTACTCCACAATAATATGCAATTTCCAGGAGTTACACGGTACCTAGAGATTGCGAAGCCCCTGGTGCAGATGTGTGAGCCTCAAACCTATTCTTTGGTGGCAACCAAAAGGCTACCATCACCATTCTGATAGTTTAAAAGAACACACACAGTCACACTCGAACGTACTAAAGACTGGGACTTCAACACACAAACTTGGGGCTGGGGACACAAGTCCACTCACAGCTGTTGAAACTTCACAAGCTTTGAAATAAAGAGACCATTATCTCCACTCTAGGGATGAATCTGGTTCACAGAAGAGTCCCTTGCCTGGTGGCCTTCATGTGGCAGGCCTAGCACACCCTTTACATGCTCAGTGCTGTGTCAGAGGCATCACTTAGTTTATGGAGTGAGTTTAACCAGGCCCATGGAAGTTTCTAGATTCCTATGGAAGGAGATGTATGTATCAAGATTGTTAATGGACCTTCTGCTACTTACCAGCTG